TTGACAGGATGTGTACTGTATAATATTAAACATTAAATTCGGTATACGTAGCGTTTGCGAATGTAAAGCCAACGTTTCGGCTATATAATGCACGTCGTAATCTAAACTTGATATTCAAGGACAGAAACCGGCGAAAAAAATTCAGCACTGGTGCATCCATACGCTATAATGCAAGTGCACTGCATATTTAAGACCAACTACGGCGTAACTATCTTGATACTTGTTAGTTTTTTATGATCTCCAATAATAATAATACTTTCAGGACAATTCACACAACGCCATGCAAATTAAGCTAGCTAAAGCTTGTATTATGGATATGATATAATAACTGATAGAAGTACATAGATATTTTTTTTGTTAATACGTATTCATGGAAAATACCCAGACCGATACAATCAATCAGTCCCATGAACACAAATGTTTGTGCCGTGCGAGGAATCGAATCCACGACAATCGGAAATAAGGCGGTGTGCGAAACCGGTAGACCACCAAGGCCGTCAGTAAATAAGAATAAGAAAGTAACATAATGTCACAGTATTCATAATATACTGTCATTTGTCATATAAAGTATATTTGCACGCAGTTAGATACGTATCCTATACCTAACTTAAATATATTGTATTCGAGACATATCATCAAGGGATATATCTTAGTTTTTTTGTCGCGATGGCTATTAGTACCAATCTCTAAGTGGCAATTACTCAGATGAAAAAATGTAATACTATTGACAATGACGACAATGTAAAAATGTCATTGATTGAAAGAAACTTCTTCATATAGTACCTACAAAATTGTAGCTACTTATATGCATTTTATTTATATTTTCTGGATTTTATATTCTCAGGATGCAACAACAATTGCCTTTATAATTATATATATAAACAGATAGAACATTTTGTTATGTCTACAGTTAAATAAAGTTTATAAAATAATATTAAAATAATAATCCGATATAAAGTATCAACGTACTCTTATAGCGCGCTTTAGTCCGCAATGTCACCTCGGCATGGGTTCAATCGCCGAATGCAAGTGGAAAGAAAGGGCTCAAAGGGATAATTATTTTATTAATATGCGTATTATTTATATCATTAATGACTGCATTATGTCTATATACTATAAAGTATATGTTCCATACTGGCTAGGTTACTAACTCCGAATACTATTATAAATTAAACTAGCTGTGTGCGCGGTTACATCCGCGTCACATTTATTGCCTATGTATTATGTAATAAAATAATATAACATATATAATATGTATAAAGTTTTTGTGTAACAAACATCCATTCAGACAATATGCTAAAAAATAAACATCGGTTACCTCGCTGCTATCTATACTGAAATAACATCTAAACTAATAGTTATACGTTTACGACTGTGAACTTGGAAAGTCACGAATTTGTTATCCAAGTCCTGGGGCCGTATTATGAACTCTTATTCCCATTCAGTTTACGGCTTAAACTGAACTGCCTGGAAACTGACTGGATTTTAAAGAGTTCATAATACGCCCCCTGGTGAACATAACATATTACCACGTGCCCCAGAGTATAATGGAATAAAACGTGACAGAAAGCAGGACTACCATCTTCTCTCAGATTAATGTTTTCTTTGTTATCAGTGTTTCTATCACCAGAGTCAGAAAAACAAATTAAAAGTATTTTAGTGTCGGTCATACTCAAAATCACCTTTTTTGGGATAGTATACTATTAAGTCACGACAATTACTATCATTTAAAGTATTAGTAATTAAAAAAATCAGCTTGAGTAAATTGTTACTTTAATTATAAATTCATTTCTAAAATATTGTATTTGTGTTTATGAAATTCTTACATGTTAGTAAAGTTCGCACAATTCAAATTCCCCTGTATAAATGTTCCAGTACCTAATGCTTATTTGTTAGTGCTATCAAAATTATGCTATCAAAATATATTTATTATGTAAAATAAATATACTTAATACAATGTTATCAGATTATTAGTTACATAGTCAAGATACCAGCAAACTTTGCCAATTGTTAGTTAAGGAAACAAAAGAGAAATTCATTTATCCAGTCACACAGTCACTTTGTGATTGGACAAAATAATTTAGTAGACTTTATAAATATGTAATTATATGTATTCCGGCATATTGTACATTGTGATATTTATTTTCTAATCTGTTTTACTACATATAGTGTATACGGTTACAGCAACAATAATGATGGTCAATTACGTTGCCGAAACTGATGCACAAAAAGATTTATTCATATTTGTACAATTGCACTATCAAGAGCTGCAATCTTTCACTTAAATTATTGTAAAAAAAATTCGTACTTTCGTCCTCTCCCAACCAGTTGCTGAGTGCATTGCCCCTCGAATTGCTGTCCAAATTTAAAATTGATTTTCGATCTCTGTCGTTCAAGTAACTCGTTTTTATAAGAGCGAGTAAGAAGGAAATGTTGCTTAGTCACCGACGTTTATATTCGTCTCTTATTGAAGTCCCAATGGGTCACACCTTAAGGCAGGTTATGACTAAGGTCATATAGGGTAAGTTGACGTAGGCTTAGACATGCATGATGCGTCACATTGTACCGCTAATTCTCTATTATATTCTAATGTGGGATACATTCAATGGCCTTTTATGGTCTTTGCCTATTACTATTTCCAGTGAGAAATGGTAAAATTTAATTTATTATTAGCATTATTTTACAATAATATAGGTAAGCGAGTATATTATATGTGAAATAACTTCTCTCAATTTGCTGAGTAATTATAGGTTAATTAAAAAATATATATTTTATATAAAATATAAAAAATAAAATATATATTTTTTAAATTGATATCCATGCCCAGGTAAGATTTTGTTATATTAATGTTCATGAATCCAGTTTAAGGTATATTTACCTCCAGAATTTACTTACAACAAGCCAAGTAAGTATGGAAGTGATTAAAGCTGATACAAATAATTATAATGTCAAGTAAAGCTGGGCATTAACGCATCCAAACGGATGCCGGCCAGGTGGCTAACCACGCATCACCTATTTTGTTTTTCAGAAAATTTACATTTGATTGAGCAAGAAATGGTGAAAAGAAATTAAAAAACAATATGAACAAACTATGAGAAAATTCTAATTGTAAAAGATTATTTTTTTGAACTATTCTAATGCTATCGGCTACAGTTAGATAGTAGCTGATCTACATAGGTGTACCATGTATATTCATAATGTCTGTAGCGAAGTCTGTAATTGTCTTGAAAAGACTATACAGACTTGATATTATATTTTATTAATGGACAACCTTCGTAAAAACTCTTTCATAAAAGAGATGGAGTTATAATCAATTGTTAAAGTTGTGTTCACCGCCACTACAACAATGTTTTTTTAACTTTTATAAATTTATATCACAGTAAAAGCATTAGTATGTTCTCTACCATACTTTATTTTGTTGTATTTTTTCGATATACATATTGTGTACATATTTAAAAAAATAATAATACGCCGAGATATTATCTAGACAGAGCATTATCTAGTCCCAAGCTAAGCAGAGTTTATGTTATGGCTACTAGACAACTGATATAAATACTTAGATAAATGTTTTTTTTTAATTCATACATAATATAGATACATCCAAACGAATACTATCACTCATAATCATGACTACAAACAATTGCGTCTTGCAAAGAATCGACTCAAACCCGCGACCATCGAAATTAAAGCGGTATACTAAACCACTATACCACAGATGCCGTCAAATGTACAAAATGTACACTACCATCTATACAGTTTTATGAATAATTATTATGATACAAAAGTACTACTCAGTTTTTCTCCAAAATGAATGCTCTTCGCAACACTAAAACTGTATTTGATTCCTCATAGAGCTCAGAGATGGCGCATATAATAAAAATGGTTATTATGTTAAAATCGCGCCAAATGAATTTATTTATAGACAACTATACAAAGCGATTTACATTTATTTCCTGTAATTATAAATGTCTTTTGCACAATTATTTAAAGAAACATATATATATTTATAAATATGTTATGAATGATACAATGCTACCACGGAAAGATGATTGTATAAGACTAAAGTTAAGTCGATTAGTCCACCGCAGCAAATTTACCGGGAATCAACCTTTATAATCACAAGACATCAAGATTAAATAAGTATATAAAAGGAATGTATACTGTATGGCAATTAAATTATACAATAACTTAAGTACTTAAACTTACAAAATATATTAATTGAATCCAAACTAAAAAAATAGGCTGTCGAATAGTAATTTGTACAGTAAAGAATAATTGACAAAAGTGTAGATTTTCTTATAATTTGCATAATTCAGGTTATAGTAAATATTGCTGTTCAATATTCTTTTAATGTAACCTATCTATGGAACCAATATTACGAAAATATATAATTTCATTTAAATACTGAGGAGATATTTCTAGTGGGTTACTTTGTGGCGTCATAGTTGAAGATGGATATAATCAAATGATGTCGGGTGAGGTACTTAAGTTTGTGTGTGTGTGTGGGGAAAAGAGAATCTGAACTCCATAATTTGGTCATATCGATTGGGATGTAGTTCGTGTCATCCGTATAACTAATCGGCATTTAACACAAATTAAAATAGATTACTAAACGTAAAAGTACATTTCATTTATCTATTTTCAATAAACAAAATAAATATAATTTGTTGATGCAGGTAAACAAAGTTAGGATTTCATTAAATCGTCATAAGGTCACTGTATATTTTTGGTATCCGCGCTCCCAGCCCCCAAGATACAAGTCTGACCTAGTTTGGGGACTACAGATAATAGAAATACGAGGGCTACACTGAAAGTTTTTAGAACTGGCTACTTGAAAGCAATATAATAAAAACCATTGTTAAAATTTTGTAAATGGAACTCTTTACGAATAATACTGAGTATATAATTTATTCGTTTGTCATGTATTTTACAGATTGGCGGCAAATTGAAAATAGTCTGTAACGTTATCATGAACTTAACACGAGAAAACTTTTCGTGTGATGATTTTTTATGACTTTCGATGTCATCTAAGTCAACAAGAAAGTTATGATAGACTACGATTGGTCTTCCACGATGAAGCCCCGTCTCATGCCACTGTTTACAACTGGTTTAATGAGTTTAAACGTGGTCGCACTAATTTCACCGATGATTTGCGTGAGGGACGGCCTCCTACGGCGACAACCGAAGATAACATCAGTGTTGTGCGGCGTATGATAGAGACTGACAAAAGAGTGACCTATCAGCAGATCCGGGCAAGCTTAAGGATTGGTATGAGTCAAGTGCACAAAATCCTCCATGAACATTTGGCGGTCAGGAAGCCTTGTGCCCGGTGGATACTTCATAATTTCACTGAGGCTCAAAAACTCCGTCGGGTTGATTAGTGCCGTGAAATGCATGAAAGATTTAACGGAGGTGACTCAAATTCTGTGTTTGACATAGTTACGGGAGACGAAAGATGGATTTACTGTTATGATCCCGAAACTAAAAGACAGTCAGCTCAGTGGGTGTTTCCTTCCGAGGAGTTGCCAACTAAAGTGAAGGGAGGTCGAAGCATAGGAAAAAAGATGGTGGCTTCTTTGGAAGAACAGGTCATTACGCGACAATTGTTTTAGAGAATCGAAAAACAGTTACTGCAGTGGTACAGTAACAATTATTTGCCAAGTGTTTTGAAAAAAGTGCGTGAGAAACGACCTCGCAGTAGGATCCTCCTTCACCACGACAATGCTTCGTCGCACACTGCCAGGCAAATGATCGATTATTTGGCGACCTCAGACGTAGAACTACTGGGTCATCCGCCTCATAGCTCCGACCTCGTACCTTGCGATTTTTATTTATTCCAAAAAATGAAAGAAAATCTTCGAGGAAAACGTTTTATGGACGACGAGGATTCGGTGGCTACGTTTCAGAAGGCCGTCAAAGAGACCCCTAAGGACGAGTGGGCAAAATGTTTTTCTCAGTGGTGTCTCGGATGCAGCGATGTATTGACGTGACACTATTTTGAAAAGATAAAATAAAGGTAATAACTTGCTTATTTAATCAGTTTTTGATTTTCTAAGAACTTTCAGTTTGACCCTCGTATATAAAAAAATGTATTGTAGTAAATGTAATACTATATATAAATGTAAATGTTAATCTATAAAAATAAATAAATATCCGCACAACTGACTACACAAAACGTGTGAGAATATCTTATGTGCCACCCATTGGACCTCAGCGTGTGCCTTTGAGTAGGAAAAGTAAGCATATCAAGTTAATCATTTACTATGACGTTAATAGTTTCATTATATTTTATCACCTAGAATAATAATCGTGAAAGTAATCTATTATAATACTGGGAATTAAATATTAAATATATATTAGTAATAAGTTTATTGAAATAAACTTAAATTAGACACGAATTCTTCATCTCACAACGTCTATTATACAAAAATAAAACGACCAGAACCGGGCGTCAATTTGTTAGAAGAGCCTACAAAGAAAACGAGAATTGTATATACAGGTTATTTACTTACTTACACAGAGACGTACGTATCTAAAGAATACCTAAAAAAATATACAAAAAGCTTTTCCTAAGAATAAGCGGGACGGAGTGCGGATCTTATTTTTCTCGCGGACGTTTCAGTCGCTCCCGGCCCGGCGAGGAGTTGGAGGTGTGGAGGTACACCACCAGCCACCCACTGCAATAATACTGCGTCACTATTTTGCGCCATTACCTACACTTGCTTCCTATTCTATAAGTAGCGAGGACTTTAGGACGTAACCGGTTTCAAATTACAGATTCCATCTATACAAAATAAATAATATTGATGTGTCTGTATTATTTAAAATGCTTTTCAATAAACATATAAGAAAATATGTAACGTACTTACATAAATAAATATTTTGAAAATATTCTTTCTGTCTGTTTGTTCTTGCTAATCTCTAAAACGGCCTGGACCGACTTTGAGGAGACTTTCACTTGCGGGTAGGTAATATCATAAGGAGTAATTTAGGCTAATTTTATTTTAGGAAAAAAGAAGAAACGTTCTTATTTTATAAATCAAAATATTTGTATTTCCTTTTTTTTTGTTTTTTTATTATTTTTATATATAATAATTAAAAAACCCTGAACAATTTACTAATACTCACCGCTTCTAAAATTTTTTGTGATAAAAGATTGCTTAGGTTAGTCCATGTATCATATATTGAAACTCGGCTTGACACGCTACCGCGTGTCTAGATCTTTATACCAAATTTTATAAAAATCCGTTCAGACGTTCATTTATGAAAAATTAACAAACAGACAAATAGACAGATAAAGACAAGATCCGTATTTATATAATATTAGTATGGATATTCATACTAGATGACACTGAGTGTGTGTAGTAAAAATTAAATAAAGTAGGTTTGACTATAAAAACGGTTACATTCTAGGTCTCTCAGGATTTCGAGTGCTAGCGCTCCGTGGAGTTTGAGCTGCTATATATGTGTTGCGCTCTTCCAACTCGTAGGTATAATACTTGTTCTACTTTTACATAATATGTATATATGTATACTAGTACTAGATAATGAAAATATCCTGAACATGATATATTTAATCGCATGTTTAATCGTTATAGTTTTTAGTACTATTTACTTTTGGTGCATAGTAAAGCCAGCTGTTACAATAAGTGTATAATATATGCAAATCTATACATCTATACATATAAATAAAATTGAATGTCTGTTTGTAATATTGAAATAACCGTTTAACATGAATGAATATAAATTTTGTACATATATAGTGTATACACCAAAAAACCACTTTTTACAATTTTTGTCTGTCTGTAGAAAACAAACAGACTGATAGCTGTTTGTTCCGGCTAATCTCTGAAATGGCCGGACCTATTTTAACGGGACTTTTTTTGGCAGGTAGCTGATATAATAAGGAGGAACTTTGGCTACTTTTATTTTGAAAAATAAAGTTAAATACCACGCGGACGAAGTCGCGAGAACAGCTAGTAATATATATAAATGGTGAGTTCGGATACTAAGACTCCGTTAATTATCGGTATACAATTTACGATTTCAAAAATATGTCTGTCTATTTGTTACTTTTTCACGACTATGTTGGTTGGTTGAACGTATATTATGAAATTTGACATGAAAATATATTGTATCGTGAGTACAAAGGCTATCTTTATTATCTTTCATCCCTAAAAATATTCAGGAGGCTGAGGTATGAAATAGAGAATGAAAGTTTGTACGGACGAAGTCGTGTGCAACAGCTAATTATTAATATATTCTTAATGTCGCTTTTTTAACTAAATTCAATAATGTTAAGATTCTTAGTAAATTATTTTAATATAATATTAGATTTCTACTCAATGTCAATATATTCAATATATCTTAAGTCAGATTAACTTATTTGTCAAATATCATTATAGTAGTGTTTGACAAATAGAATTTGCCAACCAAACTAAAACATTAATGAGTGTATGTACATAAAATGCCGTTGTAAATACTAACAATACATTTGATGGAAATAATTTCAGCAAACAATAGATTAAGTCTGAATACACGATGGGCGGTAAATGTGAATTATCGACAATCGATAACACTGCCTTCACTTCCACACAATTGGATTCGATGTAATTTAAATGAGTGGCTTGCCCTAGTGGTTCAAAGTCTTTACTCGGGAAGTTAAAGATGTGGTTTTCAGTTCGACTCTAGGCATGGCATATCAATACGAGAAATTTGCAAATTTTGTTTATGATAATTGTATCATAAACAAAATTTGCAAATTTCTCTACTACCATTGGGTAGACTTGCTCACTTGTTGGATGGCGAAATCTTGTTAAAAATATGGATTAGTAATAATTACTAATAATAGACACCAATATTCAGTGTTCAATACGGAAATCGCTTGTCTTCGATAAAGATATATCTTTTTCGTATGTAATCACCACACAAAATTTACATTTGCACAATTAGTTTACCTAACCTTTTGGTACAAAGTTATTAATACACCTATATTGAATAAATAACGAGGTTTGCCTTTATTTCGAAAAGCATAGCGCTTTCTATATAAAAGTCTGAACTAGTGCAAACAATGTTAAGCTTCAATAAAATAGTTATATACAGCGAACTGGAAATGCAACTATCTGGTCGGGGGACATCTAAACATACCTTTAGCGGTATAGGCTTGGAGACAAACTATTTACCACTCATTCACTTTGAAACAAAGTATACAATTTTAACGTGTTCCATTACTGCTTTACTTCTTACCCCTCCGACGGTACAGATACGTGAACCGAGCAATGAATGGATAGTACGAGAATTATTCGTGCTATGTAATGTCAGGGTGGTGTTGTGGATGCGGGAGCGGGTGTGAGGCGACGGTCCTTTGATTCTGGCGAGATTAAACGTGCGGCAGACGGTGGCGCCTCTATCGATTGTTGTTGTAATTACAACGCTATCCTCGCCCAGTCGCAAATGAAATTGTTCCGGACAGAGCCAGCTGTGGATGCCAACATGTTATTACAGTTGTCCCTAGCAAATGTAGCCAGATTGTGAACTGTATATCGGCACGATAAGGTTGTATATTTAATACAGGAAAGTTGAAGCTGTTATCAATATGGTTGCGGGTGCATAATTGCATACTATGCAGTATCGAGTGTTTCGATGAAATTGTGGTAAAATGTAAAATAACTATTATTATGTCTCTTTATGTCTACATGTTTCACTGTAATTGTATTACCTGTTATTGTTATTACTGAGATACTTAACAAATTATAAGATATATATCTACACGCCAGATTTCTAAACGCAATGATGATGATCCCTTAACAAGGATTATAAATTATTAAATATGTTATAGTAATTAAGCAGTATAATTTATTAAATAATTTACTACTTATATGTTAAATTAAAAAGGAAGTTTATCTATTTTAAGAACGACCATAGCAATATCTTAATCTTTTATTAGTGTCTTCTATTTTTCTTATTGGTATTCTCAAGACCGTTATACGAAATAGTGAAAAAGTCTTAAGAACTAGAACAAAAGGCTACGACTGCGCACTGAGAACATTACGACCGCAAATCCACATCTGAATTCAAAATACGAATGGGGACTGAGAGAGAGAAATCCAATAAAACATTCGTAACGTTCAAACGTATCTACGTCTACGTGACGTAGACGCCTCCCCGCCACGCATGCGTACCACACTCGTACAGAACAAACGGACAGTTCCAATTTCAATTGTAGAAAAAAAAATAACCAATTCGAATTGGAGAAGGCTTCGCGGCAACCAATAGGAAGGCTCACAGTCGTAATGCCAACTGTGTGGGCGGAGCGAGTGATATCTAGCATTGGAATGCTCGTTGTATTTGTTTTGCCCGATTCGAAGGCTTTATTGCTTGGTGTTTGAGCCTCTTTCCCCTTGAGGGTGGGAGCGGCGGAAAGCTCGATATGGTTTTGGGATGAGGCTCTTCACATTATATACCGTTGTCCTTTGTAGCCTACGGATGGGTGACCTACATACTGAATGATAAATAGAAGGTTTTGTGCAATGTGATTTTAAAATAGATACAATCATGAAAATACATCAATAAAAGCCCAGTAAAAAAAATTTGAAAAAAAGTAATGGAACAGGAATATGTGGCTACTTATGAATTAACGTTTAATAAATTAAGGAGTGTCGCTCTTCCGACTTTATGAAACTGCGAGTATTGATTTTTAGATAGGGAAAAAACGAAGGCAACGATCTATGCAGATCTGGAGTGCTCTCGGCACATCAGATGGCACCGGCGGGGCAGCCTCCGCAGACAATCGAACGGTGGGGGGCACCCCCCACTGGAGGTCGGGGAACTGGCATAGACTATGGATCGTGTTCTGTATCAGAAGATGTTCCATTTGACATCACACTAATTGCCTATACTCAGTAACACAATACTTTTTTATTTAACAATATTTATTGGAGTAAACTCCTAAATTATAATATACTTATATACTATAATATATGTGATGATACTATTTGTCATCAAGTAATCTGTTGTATTGATTACCAATTCAAATCGTATAGTAGATTAAGAAACGTTACAGATATACGTCTAAATAAAATGTCTTTTTTTATATTATCTCAGTTAAAGTTGACGGCTATACAGATAATAAAAATATAGCCGTTTGTCTATACATAGAAGAAATACGAAAAAAGCGGTCAACCTACTAACACAATAAAAATGTTAGAATTATTAATTTTAACATCTGTTTACTGTGTTCTCTGTTTTCTGTATCTATACGGCAAACAGATGTGTTTTGTGATGAGCTAATCTCAAAAATAGCTTAAATGATATGGATGTTGTTTTCACTAACGTATTATGGTAAACTAACCTAACATATGCTTAAAATATTGTATTCTTTTTATTCCAGTTGTTTTACAAATAAAAAATAAAAAAAATATTCTGAAGACCGCACCTGATTGAATTTGTACAACTTGTTGAGCCCGCGACTTCACCTTCTAAGTATGTCCGTAAAATAAGTACTCACATGTATTTTTAGTTTAGGCATAGAAACAATTGTAACTTATTAATATCGTATCTCGCACAACTTTATCTTTGGCGATATCGACCCGTCGGCGGCGACTTCCCATTCTCGAAGTAAAACACGGCGGGAAGGAAACCGCGGGATAAACCGCCCCCCGCCGCCTCCCGTCCACCCCCAGCCCGATCTTTACGTTTCAGGAATAAATATTTCAGAGCGTGTGCTTCGGAAGTTAAAGTTATGTATCGCCCGAGCCAGCGGTAACAATCCGAGAATGAGAAAAGCTCGCTTTCCTTTTATGTTACTTTCTTTGTATGTGGTTACTCGTATATTATATTGGAGTATGTATATTACATTTGAATCTTTGATATTATAATTAAGTAATTAAACAAGACGTAATGATTACAGCGTAATAGTTTGATTTCATAGAACATAAAAATAATAGAAATCCCGCACGATTCACACAGCCCCAAGCTTTGCTGAGCTTATGTAGCTTGGTACTAGACAACTGATTTTAATACCTTAAGACATTTTTTTTATTAGTACACATATATATATACCTACCAATACAAACAATACTTATAAGTACAGATGTTTGCATCGTGCGTGATATCGAGGCTGCAACCATTGGAAGTAATATAATATGATGACCGATGAGGCCGTTAAAATATTTATGATACTGAAAATCTTTTCTAATTTATAAATTAGCCTAATTAGAGTACAAGTTACATGGTTTTTATTTTTATATAAAAAGTAACATATTAATGTTCAGTAGTCGTTTTAATTTAACTTGGAAGAGATTTATTTATATTTAAATAAAAAAAAATTAAACATGATTAAAGTTCAAACTTAAACAATACTAGTATGGAATATAATTATTTTTTCCTAGAATTATAAAATCGTGAAACTTAAAAATACGAAATAAAAAAAATATTTCTATATTTTTATATCAATGTTAATTTATTACGACACAGATCGAAGTTAGTTATTTTTTCTCAGAATTATGTAATGATGAAACTTCAAAACATGTTATTTTTACAGAACACAGTAAATTATTGTTATTTTTTTATTTTTCTTTGAATTTACTTTCAATAGCTTATGTATACTCAAACTGGAGTATATAACTAAATTCATAGAGTTATGTTGAGTAAGTAAACTATATAGGTACATTATGATAGGACAAATAGATATGTTATTACTCGTAACTCAATTATTATAATTAAGAAGAGGAATAATAATCATAAGAATTGCTTTATAAACATTTTTCAGTTTTGTATGTTAACCTTCAAATGGAATCACTGCTCGAGTGATGGGACATAATGGGAGCGAGATTACAGGGTAACGAGGCATAATATCTTAGTTCTTAAGAACAGTTCTAATATGGCAATCTATGAGAGGTACAAACTCTTCAATGTCACTCACTCATCAATATGATGACCATGGGAATGTTAATGTATACGAGTATAGACCTTACGACTTTGTATTAGACAGACTTTAAGCGTGTTTGCACTGCAATTAAAAATATCTTATATAAAATGAACTCGGTTTCTCTGTTTGTTCGCTTATATCTTTTAAACTACGCAACGGATTTTAATGCAGTTTTTAGCAATAGATATGGTGATTCAAGTGGGGGGTGCATATGGAAACCAGGGCGAGTAACTAGTATACCTATATATAAATAAAAGATTTGTATAAAATACATCATAGAATGCAATAAAATTCTACGATTACGTGTGTATCTATAACAGCGTCGGTGCATTATTGTACGCATAAATCGTTCGCTTTACTACGCACAGCGTAAATTTTCATTATCGTCCATTTTATTGCCATCGTACATAAGGTCACGAGATAAGGAAAGAAACCTTGTACGTTACAAGTCAGTGTATACTTTCCTTGTCTATTTTATATTGAAATATAAATATTAAATTATATCATATGAAACAAAATTGTTTAAATATAAAATCAGAGTAAAAAATTAATGTTAATGTACACTTGCTAAGCGGAAATAAAAAAAATGTATGTGTAGTATATTACATATAATCCACCGAAATTAAAATTTTATTTTCGAAACTTTAGTCTCCATTTAAAATAAAAAAAAAACACAAAATAAATGTTTTTCTTTTCCAATATAGTTTAGTTAATAACATTATTTTATATTTACTAGATTTTTAGTAAATGTTTCTATAAAATCAATTCTTGTTACCTCGGGTCACGGAAACATTTTGAATTTAATTTTTACGCGCTCTCAAATTTCTAGAGAATATATGTAGATTATAGTATTTTATATTTGTTTTTAATAATTTGTATTTGTATTTGTATTAGTTTAAACCTATGATATATGTACTTAAAATTATGTGGAATGTTAGCTATTGATAAGTCAACAGCACTATCCTTGGGCTAGGTCGCAGCCACTTGTGATTGTTGCACTGCTAAATAATTGGTATTTATCAAGCAATTGATACTAGATGTAGATATACCTAAATAGTATCAGTTATACAATAACTTTTGTTACGTTTTTTAAATGTTTATGATTTTTTAGTTAAGATTTTTAATTGGAAGATTGTCTATGAAACATTGTTTGCAAGTAGAGTTGGTCAATTTAACTTATAAAATAAAAATATATGTACAAAAATAAATTTTAATATTCCATTTTATTATTTTCCTTGATAATTTATTTATTTATCTTTACAGTAAGTTGAGGCAGGCCAAACATTCAGAAACAAGAAAGTATAAATATTTACATTCACAGCTGACTCTCGCGTCAATAAGTTTACATCATTTAAGTTAATGATTCACAGTATTTCTAATAAATAATGAAGTATACAATAAAAAATACTTACAGATCAGTAGTGCCAAAGGAAACTGTCACAGAATTATTTTTAAAGTAAAATATTCAAGATTGTTCATTAGCACTGCACTGAACTTACAATCGAACTGTGTCTACTCGGCAAACGTACAATGTTCTTTTATAGATTCAATGAATGACTCGTAGACATATAGTAGTCGTATTTGTTGATACGTAAATTTGTGCTAACTCGTAAGTAAATTGAAACTACGCACAGTTTTTATGGCAATATGATCTGATGGCGCTACTACGGACTGCGTGTATCCGGTTAATTTTGGAACTTAAATACTGTGAAGGCATCCCTTGTATAAATTATTCATATATATCTATATTTAATATATATTTGTATTTGTAGGTATCTTACGTAGTAAATATTATTTGAGAGATAAATAGAGAAAGTAGATGAAAACTCTGAAAATGATGTAAAACTTGCATCACAGCAATAACTTTTCAATAATGATTCTAAAAACAAGAAAATATAATTTCCACTTTGGTTTTTTTTGTTTGTAATTGAATCTGGTTGTGTACAACATATTAAAACATATATTCGATTAAAACTGTAACATTCTAAACGTAATGTGTTGTAGTGATGTAGGTATTTATTAGGTATATGACGCAAATAGTGACTTTCGTCACTTTATGATCTAAGAGTACTAAAATGTAATGTGAAATTAGATTGTCACACCCGTACTATTTTCATTACTTTATGTAATCAATCTACATATGTATGTATTGTGTATAGACCCAACTGTATAGGGCACAACACAGTTAATATAAGGTAATAGGTAATAGAAAACTGTTTACCACAGCTACTAAAGCCGCTATGGTCAATTTTATATACTATCAGTCCGATTGAGAAGTCGTATCGTGAAGTTCGTTTTTTACATACACACAACTGGTACTTGAGCAAACTTGTTATATTAACACCGATATGTTTATGTGCTCGGTACAAACTGAAACCGGCTTTAAAGAAATAGTTTTAAGTTGTAAGTTAATATGATTAGTTTATTGATTCCGTATATAATATAGTTGTGATTAAGACCGTATTAGAGGTTTACAGTAAATAAAATGTGCGTATTACCCTCTCTCTTTAGAGACTGTACAAAGTCGAGTGCATATTACCTCTATCTATTACTGTATCTAATAGCTTGCTTTCTAAGGTATGTACTAATTTAAATATATATCCATAGTATATGGTAGAGAAATAATAGAGTACGATGGGCACAGATTACTCTGTGATGTCCGAGCTGCTCTTTTCTTGCTTTAGGCGACAGTTTTGTCTTTCCATAAAGTTAGTTATTTTCCATAAGTCTAGTTTAGACTTTCCATAAACTGGACTATTATACTGATTTTCTTTGGAATTTTAACTTTTTCATGTTTGACAAATCTGATTTTTTACAACTTTGTGCCTGCTGCATTAGAATTTATACTATACTATGGTGATATATTATTAAATGTATCTGTCTTGAGTTAATCTGTATCTTAAACATACTGGTACTTTAAACCAGTCTAGCTGAGTATGACGTATTACACGAGAAATAAACAGCAATATACATATATTATTAATGAGTGGAAGTTATTAGAATTTAATTTATAAACAAATAGGAAAATTAAACCCGATTTATGTTCTAAGAATATCTATACATCTACTTCATTGAAGTTGATATATCTTGCTTAGAATCGCAGATTATAAAGAAAATAAATAAGAAAAATTCTAGTAGTAATAATTTGTTAAGACGCAATTACATATTTTGTAGAGTTTTTATTCGATCTACTGATTGAAGTTTATTGTCAAGTGACAATCAAATTTCAACTTTATGATAAAGTGGAAAATTTCAACTTAGTGCGCAATTAGTGCTCCATTACTTCTTGTATAGTATAGCCTATGTATGCTCGTAGGTACATAGAAGCCTTTAATGTTATTAAATAGAGTTTCTGTTTTATAGTTCACAATTGTATAATAGTAGTATTTCATTACGTAAAGTCTGCACGTGACTTTGTTATAGTTGAATATTTTACGATTGGAGCAAAGTAGTTGTAACAATTACAACGGAACATAAGTGTAAATATTATTTAATATATGTCGGTCTGGTGATGTTGTTCTTACTTTTGGTATTGGTTTATTTTTGAGGAAGAATTTAGTTATCTACATTTTTGTGAAAGTTTTCTTTGACCAATATAAAAGTAACTCATATTCGTCTGCATCCCATTGTTTAAGCTATTAAAGACTTATGTAAATAAGGAAATAAATTAAAAATTAAAGTAGAGCATTAATATTAATAAGATTTTTTTTGTAAATTAATAGATGACGACATGTTCCAATAACGCTTGTAAATAAGTTTATTTATCACCAGTGTGGTAAATATTAAAAAAACAAATATTTAAATATCTTTTTTTTCACTTCAGTATTAACACACAATTCGAGAAGTTTCAACTGATTGCATATAGATATGTTAGAAGTAGCACCAGTAATTAATTTATTACTTAATGATTGCTGACTAGTATATAAATACTTATGCTACTTATACACTGGACAGCGTGCGGTAGGGCAGGAATGTAAATACAATGAACAATGAACGAGTCACACTCATTAAGTAGCTACGCAATGTTGGCAGAATTCTAATCAACATTAAACATACGCCGACGTAGATTTTAATATATAATGTGTTCATACACTGTAGTCAATCAGTGTTTCAGTGTTCCGAATAATAGTTATATGGCAACACTAAAATGGAATTCTCAGCGTCTATACGAGAAAATACAGTGAAGTTAATTCAATTTTAACTTTTATTATATTGTTTTATTTGTGTATTCTAATGCTAGATTCATTATAAAATAGTTGCATAATAGAAATAGAAATCATCAAATAAACAGAGTAGGCCAGGGACACATACCTAGTGTCCTAAGAAACTTAACTTCTGATATGCTATTGTTATAGTAACAATAGTAGCCTATAATTATTATTTGTGGCTAGTTTATTCGAATGTATATAATGTTTATAAAGTTATCTAGGCTTTTTACCAGGATTTTAATAAGCCTCGTTTCTAGATCTTGGGTATAAAAATTACAACTCTAAAGAACCGAAAGTATTTTTCGAGAACGTTCCGAGTGATTGCATAGTCAAACGCATGTCGATTAATTTTATTTATTTAAAGAGAAATATAAAATGTTTATCTGGCTGTTTGCACAGTCATGTCGTCTAATCTTTGGCCCGCGGCGTACGTGGTAGACTACAAATACAACATAGTACGCATTTATATACGTAGAGAAAACAGTAAAGAATGATCGCGACATGAGACAGCACTTGGAAGAAAAATAACACTCATTCTATCTCCTTACAGCTACAGCTGTATGAATAACTTCTAATAAAGCTCCGGGTTAAATTGCGTTTACGAACGTTTTCTTTAATAATATTTTGATACTGCTTCTTTTCATATTGAAATTGTACATACGTGGAATTTTATAGTAGATATTTTTATAATTTAAGTTTACAAGATATAATACTTAAGAATAAAATAAGGTAATACGATTATAGTTTGTTTACTTATTCGTGGACCATTGCATGCATTGCATGCATGGATGCATTTATTATATCGAGCAAAAGTAGTCAATAATACATGTATGAATGAAGTATGAATGTGAATTTAATGGGTTTAAATCTTAAAAGAAAATGAATATTTAAACGATTATAGATATAATTTATCAATGTGAATATATTTGTATCTACATCTATAACTATAATAAAGACTCGTTATCTAATGGTTAATGTTATGCTAGAGTTAGTTACAATGGGTTGTATTATAGGAAAAAATGGCATCGCAATCTCAACAAATTAATCTACGAAACCCGCAAATACAGACGTGACATTACGAAAGAAATTTGCGAAAAAAGGGTCAGAGAGACCCACAAAAATCAGCGGCGATGACTAGCCGATTCTACTCGGGTTACGTTCCTAATCCCGAACCCTTCCTCGCAATATGATTTGCGTCAGTGGAGATGCGTTCAGAACAGATCACCGGACGGTAACCGAGTGGAAAAAGCGCTTCTCATCGGGACCGTTGCTTGAAGTCTTTTGAATTCGAGTGGCGTTTCTGAACTACCAAGTCTTGTTTAAATAGTAACTTGTGGCTAGGTATACATAAATATATGTAGAATTACGTAAGTGTTTAATAAACATAATTATATACCTATCATATACTAGTAGATATGTACGTTATATGTAATCCAATATATATATAGAAAATATTTCTAAAAAAGTACTCAGTTTGTACGCTTAGATCTTTGAAATGACGCAACGGATTTTAATGTATAATACATGCATACCATAGTGCAGAAATCTGAGAAATTCAAACATCTGTAACGATCTATACGAACCCGGGGCGGATTACTAGTAAAATAATAATATAATCTCTGAACAATTCACACAGCGTCATCTTGTCCCAATATAAGCAGAGCTTGTGTTGTGGGTACTAGATAACTAATTAGATATTTAGATATTTTTTTGTAAATATTAATACAATATTTAGTACATAGAAAACACTCAGACAGATACAAATAATCATATTCATGAATATAAATGTTTATACCGTGCGAGGAATAGAACCAGCGACCATTAGAAGTATTCAAGAGCCGTCATAAATGTTATTGTTATTAAGAAGATTATTTACAGTAGTTATCACAACAGTACAGATACAATTAAATATCAAGAATGAGTATGTTAATCCATTGTAAGTTTTTCTACGTATTTTTGTTGTTGGTGTCAAGATAAGTAAATTAATTGTTTATTTGAAAACAGTTGCTGTATTTACTTATAGTCATTCTGAAGGCGTCCAACCACGAGGTGGGTAATGTTATCATTCCATTAATTACAACAACCACCCCCTGCTTTTTAAAAGTAAATTAATCCGATTAAGGGGGGAATCGAAGAACCCGCTCCGTCCGAGTTTATTCAGGCAACTTTCTTTCGAATAATTATTTTTTGTAATTAAATCCATCAACACGATTTTTTCCTAATGATTCTCCCGCGGGAGTTGGGTGGGCGGGTGACCAGGACGAGGGTA